TTTGTTTAGATAAGCTATAAAAAGACCCTCGGACAAAGACCGGGCGTCGACTCTGCTTTGGGCTACTAGCCCCCTAGTCGAACTTGTTTGCAAACAATAAACATGAGATGGATCCAGCCTGAATGTGTATGACTCTTTCTTGAGGTATATTGGAAAAGCCTCCGGGGACACGAAACTAGCCGTTTGTGCAACACTAGGAAGGTGGTAAAACACTGGAACAGGTCACCCAGAGAGGTGGTGGACTCTCCATCCTTGGAGGCTTTTTAGACCCGGCTAGACAAAGCCTTGGCTGGAATGATCTAGTTGGGGATGGCCCTGCTTTAAGCAGGGGGTTGGACTAGATCAGTGTTTCTCAACCCATGGGTCACAACCCAAAAGTGTGTTGCAAGATTAGTTGAAAAGGTAGTGAGTAAGTCCCAGAAAAATGTGGAAAAGCATAGGTTTCCCCTTGCAGGCTAGAAGGCTGCTTGGGGTAATTGGAGGCAGTGAGAGCACCTGTCTGCGCGTGCGTGTGCGCGCACACACACAGCATGTGGCCAGGCTGGCTCATGGGAGCAGCCCCAGCAGCTGGATGCAGGTAAGTGTTTGGGAGTGAGGCCTGGAGGACCAGGGCTTGGGGATTGCCCAGGGCGGGGTGTGGGGAGGGGAGGGGGGTGTTAGGGAATGAGTGTGTGGTGGGGGAGGGCAAGTGCCTGCTGACACTAGGGGAAGGTGGCCTGGTGCCAAGGCTGTATCAGGGCAGAGGGGGCGGGGAGGGGCGAGGGGGGAGAAGGTACTCCAGGGAGCCAGGAGCTGCGGTGGCTGGGCAGGTCCTCCAGGGAGCCAGGAGCTGCGGTGGCTGGGCCAGGAGCACTGGGACCAGTGCTTGTACTCACAGGGGTAGGGTGCCTGGGAGATGCTGCCCAGGGGTTGGGCAGGGCTGTGATCAGGCTGCTTAATGCAGCATGGGAACCCCAGCCCAGGGCAGTGGGGGGTGCCACAGGCCTCCCCTCCTCCTCCTCACAGCCCATGCTGGGGTGGACTTGCTCCACTGCTGCCCGCATGAGCCAGAGCTGCTGCAACCACTACGTTCCAGCCCAAGCAGAAGGGGCTCCCTCTGGCAGGGCTGAGGGGAACAGGGGGCTGTGGGTGGGGAGTGAGGGGCACCACAATGGCCAGAAGGCTGTGGGTCAGTAGGGGCGCCGGCAGGGCCAGGGGACTGTGGATCGGGATGGGCCATCGAAGTTTACAAATGGGTCCTGGTACAAAGAAGGCTGAGAATCGCTGTAGTAATAAGAGATTGGTTGCTGCTGAAGAGAGCAGGGCTGGAGGAATGTTGGACAGGAGAGGGTTAACCTGAGATGCTGTCGTCACCACGCTGCGGTGTCATGCACATTTTGAGCCTGTCGCCTGTCCTGGTCTCTAGCTGCCTGCGAGGAGGCGAGAGACAGGGAAGCATCGAGGGGGCATGAATAAGGGGTGTTTGGGCTGCACAAGTGAGGCAGAGGGCAGTGCCTTGGTCCACGGGGCAGGAGACATGGGGGGAGAGATTTTCCACTGGTTCTTGGGGCCAGAGGCTGTGGGTGATGACTGTGAGCAGAGAGGCCCTTGTGTTGTAGCTTCTGGTAACCTGTGGGAGACTGGACGTGGGGGCGCTGGGTTTTTGGGGGACTTGGTGGTATTGCTTCTCGGTCTTTTATAGGTTAAGGTCAAGTGTAGAACCTGTTCTGGGTTAGATGGATTACCTAAGGAATTTTATGAAAGGTTTTGGGGTGTGGTGGGGGGGGATGTGGTGGAGGTGTTTAAAGAAATTATGGAGATGGGG